TAACATTTTCTCGAAGCCATCTGGCTGAGAGGTTGAATGCTGTTCACAAAATTGTTCGTGATTGTAAATTGAATGCTGTTCGTGAATGCTCTGACCATCAACTCTAGTTAACACACCTCTCAAAATGTTGTCCCAACTCCAATACCATGGTCCAAAAAATTTCGTCGATCATTTACATGAAAAAATTCAAAAACAATCAAAAAAGTTAAATCCTACACTGGCGAACATTATTATTATTATTATCTACCAAGGGCATAGATTACCAACTCATTACACAGAAAACAATCAATTTCTATCTCTACAGTGTGGTTAATGCTGAAGTCTGACCGAACCCTATTTCAATGTTGATATTATTAGGGCATGGCTTGCAGGCCCAACACCCATCGACCCAGTTTCCATGTAAACATGGTTGGGCTTGAAAAATCAAGCCAAAGGTCCAACTCTAGCCGGTACCCATGGGATTTAGATGCCGAGATGATGGACGAAGAGGATGAATTCGAGATGTGGCTCCAGCAAGCCCTTGCTTCTGGCCTTTTTAGTGAGTCCTCCAAACGCAGGAAAAGTTGGAGTCCCTTCAAACTGCCCCAGAAGAAAGGGAAAAAACAGTGGCGTAGGGCATCTTAGAAGACAAAAAATTTTGCGGCTAATGTATTTTATTTATTGGCACCAGTCGGACATTTTCTACCACAACGCGCAGTCATTGCCTCGTGAACAAAGTGGAATTGATGTTGTGGGAGGTGGAGAAGAAAAAAAGAAAAAGAAAAAGAAAAGACTACATGTCTTTACACGGTTCGTGTGTGTAAATAAAAACTTGTTGTGTTGTTATTCTAACATCAGTTTCTGCATGTCTCCTTGATGTTTAGAATTGGAAGTGAGTGGAGGGGAATTCAGCGAAGCTGATGGTGCTGTTTGTTGTGTACATTTAATTTGGTGATATTAGTTCTAATCAGCTGGGCAGATGGAATAAAAAATTTACAAAAGGTTGTCTTTCTGCCATTTGTCTGTTTTCTCAAGGTGGTGGTGGTGGATAACTAATCCATGGGAGATGTTTTGGTAATCATTTTCCTTCCTGGCGAGCAAGCGTGTATGCTTTATTAATGCAGCTGTTACGCTCAACAATTTTGTTATTTATGTGGTGCAAGCTTTTGATTTTTAGATATTAAAATTTAATTGAATGGAGAAATATTGAAAATTTCAAACAAGTTTATTATTTATCTTGTGCAAACTTTGGTTTTCAGATATTGATTTAATTGAATGGAGAAATATTGAAAATTTCAATTCCAATAGATTGTATAATTCATATATGCATATGGATATATGTTATAATGTGTCTTCACGGGATAGGCTGTTTTTCGGTTAGATTGTATAATTTCTATCAGCGTATGGAACTCATGCTATGATTTGTTAAAAAATGCTACAAGTACATAATAAATGTATATAAAGTCATATATAACACTCACATGGAGTGGAGTCTATTTTATTTTTTATTTTTGGTAGGACCCACTCAATATGAGTGTTACGTACACCTCTATGTAAATTATTATGTACCTATAGCATTACTCATGATCAAGGTTGTTTAAACCGGACAGGTCAAGCTACTGGTTCAATGGTTCATTGGTTCATTGGTTGGACCAGTGGTCGAACCGGTCCAACCGATTTAGTTAATAAATAATTTTTTATATATTTTTATTAGTAATTTTATAGTGTAGTTCAATAATCAATATCCTATTCCCAACTAACTTCACATTAAAACAAAAAAACTTTTAAATAATTGGGAATGTACTTAAGAAAAAGAATAAAAAAAAAATCTTTACTTAAAAAAAAAAGCATCCAAAGAATATCCTTTACTTAAAAAAAACAAAAGAAACTCTTTAGTCTTTCTCCAACGCAGCTTTAACCATCTATACTTTTCCCTCTTTCCTGCTCTCTCACCAAAAGCTCAAATCTGAAATCTCTCTATCTATAAAATCAAAATCCTCTGTTTTTGTCTCTCTCTAATGGAAATCGGATGCTCTTGGATTTCATCAGAATCTGAAAAAACGCCGGCATCAGTGCTAAGAAGAACTCGACGACAATCTGCGTGGATGGCATTCACGATCTGCGTTCACCTCCGGCTAAGAAGAACCCCCGAAGACAACGATTTGTTATTCGATCTGGCCATCAAATCGTCCGATCGAGCTGTCGCCGAGACCCGCGACGGCGATTTGAAGGACTATTTGAAACCGCTGGGCCTCAATCGTCGATCAGCATCATATGGTCGGGCCCCAATTTGAAAACCGCTGGGCCGTCCGAACCGGTTTTGGTTTTTCGGTTTTACCGGTTTCCGATCGGTTCAGACGGTTCTTAAACGGTTTGGAGCCCAGATGGCTTAACCCCTCAAACCGGACCGGTGTGATGGTCGGTTCCCTGTCGAACCGGCCGGTCCGGTCCGGTTTTTGACAACCTTGCTCATGATTTGTTTTCGTAAGTGCATAAATAATTAAACTATAATAAATGGACTGAAATTGAAGTACTAATTAGAGGTTTTTATTTTTTTATTTTTTTTTATTTTTTTTTATTTTTTACAACGAAAACAAATATATTGCTAAAATCTCAAAGAAGTCTGAAAGAGTTATATTTTTGGCAATGTAGTTCAAAAATTAATATAAGTGAAGATATATTCTTGCAAGCATGAGAAATAAAAAGGGAAGTTCTTTTATTTATATTTATATTTATATATTCGAATATATTTATATTTATATTTATATATTCGATTTATATACATATATATTAGATTTACATGATCTTATTATGGATATATTTTGTAGGAAATCATATAAGAAGGAAAGATCTTTGGAAAGAGAAGATAGAGATCTACACCTACCATATCTCTTATGATTTACATGGAAGGAAATTGGATAAACTTGGAAGGAAATCAAAAAGAAGTCCTATACTTGGAGAACACTCCACATCCTAGGGATTGTATATATACCTGCTTGAAGAACGAATTTTGGAGAGCTGAGAGCAATATATTCTATTCCATAATCGAGCTGCAAGCTTTTTGTGTTTTATTTTCGTTGGTCAGTTTTCGGTGTTCTTACGTCATCGAAGAACTGAAGTCTGTTTTGTTTTCTTTTCTTTGTGTTTCATTCAAACACTTGTGTGATCAGTGCTTAGGGATTAAGTACTGTCTTTAGCTCGAGGGATTCGAGAGGTAAAATCCACGGGACGTGGTCGGAGAAGTAGTTGATAGAATCGTGTGTAGTTGTGGCTAGACTAGAAGGGAGTTCGAGTCGTGTAAGTCCAAACTATACAAGTGTGCACAAACGGTTTATCAATGAAAGAGCTCTGAGGGGAAGTGGGACGCTTCCCTGAAGAGTTTTTAAATCTTCGATTTATTGCTTCCGCATTTTATAATTTTTGTTTTAGTTCGTACTACAAGTTGAGCGCACTCGTTACAAAATACCTACGTTACAATTGGCACCAGAGCAGTGTTCCTGTTCTACATACGGGATAAAGATCTTTGGAACTGTGATTGGTCACCATGATTCACGACGGCATGTCCGTTTCGCGCCCTCCGTACCTCGACGGTTCTAGCTATGGATACTGGAAATCCATGATGGTGATATTTATTCGCTCTTTGGGTAAAGGAACCTGGCAAGTCATTGAGTCAGGCTGGACCACACCACTCATGCCGAAAGCTCCCTCGGAATCAAAGTCATCAACCTCGGCTGCTCATGTTCTAGTCGAGAAACCAAGGGATCTTTGGACTGATGTTGAAAGACAAGCAGAAGAAGCAAACTTTCGTGCATTATATGCTATCATGTCTGCTGTGGATCCAACTCGCCATAAGATGATCATCCAGTGCACAACAGCTCGCGACGCATGGAAGATTCTTGAGAGGCAATTTGAGGGTACCAACGCCGTGAAGTCTTCCAAGCTCCAAATGATTTCCACGGAGTTCGACACTATTCGCATGAAGGATGATGAAAATATTGATAGATACTATGCACGTTTTTGTGATCTTGTTAACCAAAGTGACATGCTTGGTGAGGAAATTTCTGAGGCGAGGCAAGTACAAAAGATCATGAGGACCCTTGCCAAACGATTCCGTGAAAAGATCACCGCACTTGAGAGCTTTCAGCGAGTCGAGCCTCTTGGTCTCGATGACTTACTTGGAGAACTTCGAACTTTTGAAATCAATCGTGGTTATGATAAGATGGGAATAAGCAAAGGCTTAGCCCTGAAAGCCAATGTTCCAACACAGGCTGAAGACGAAGAGGATTCTGATGATGAGTCTCTTGATGCTGAAAGTATTGCTAAGGCTTTGGATGTTCTTACATGCCACTTCTCTCAGTTAAAGAAGAAAAAGGAGTTCCAAGGGAAGAAACCTACTGACTTCAGTAAGAACATCAATCAGCAGTCTGGTGAACGACGTTCCAACTCACATTCTCAGAAGACTCAGAATCAAGATGTAGAGAAGAACCAATGCCGTGAATGCAAGGGATTTGGACACTTCCAGAAAGACTGTCCGAATTTTACGAGGAAGAACAAAACCTATCGAGCCACGTGGGATGATGATGAAGACGATGATGACCAGCAACACACGAACAAATTTGCCGTCACTTCTCTCAATAACTTCACGTGTTATACAGCCTCTCATAAGCCTTGTGATGCCGATTCAGGTATGTGTTCTTACACGTATAATTCTCATAGTGATTCTGATGATTCTGGAGATGGTTCTGTTGAAGTAGATTTGGCTACCCATAAGCTTGCATTAGAGACGAGCATCAAAGCTGGAAAAATGGTGAAAAAGCTACAAGCTCAAGTCGAGGTGTTCAAACATCGTTCTGCAGAGCATGAGAAAGAGATCACCTACTTGAAGGATGAACTTCAGAAAACTCGCATGATGAATGGCGAACTGAATGATAAGCTGACCAGATCTGATGTTCATACCAGCAAGGAGGAACATAAGCTGGACGAATTTGTTGCCAAAATCACGATGTTAGAACATGAACAGAAGTTGTCCAAGCAGGTATGTGATGAAAAGGTTTTTATCATTGAGTCTCTACGTAATGAAATGTTTGTCTTGCAGAAAACTATAGATGAAAGGGAATCCGAGATTGTTGCACTCAAAAGAGAACTCGGTCGAGTGATGGAAGAACATGTAACGCTCAAGAGTTATTGTTCTACAATGGAGGAGAAACTCAGCAAGAGTGAGGAGATTGTCAAGATGATCAACAAGCCCAAGTCCTCATTTGCTGAAGTTCAAAGGATGAGTCAACAAATAGGTACTTCAGACCAGAGTAAGAACGCTCATGATCAAAAACTGAAAGGTAAAGTAGGCGAACCTAGCACATCTCTGAGTAAGTCAGACCTGACCTTTGTCAAAGAAGGTTACAGCATTGATGGTAAGAATGGTAAGCCTAACTCTACTAAAACTCAGCGTAAGAATTCTGGTAAGAACTTTGTGCCTGTTTGTCACTATTGTGGTATCCGTGGTCATATTCGCCCTAAGTGTTATAGGATGCATAATGATATTTATACTGGTCGAATTGATGAATGGAGTCCATATGGTGTACCCTTGAAAGCACCTAAACTAAAGGTTGATGTGGTTAATCATGAACAGAAAAAGATTTGGGTTCCTAAAGGCAGTAAGAACGTTTGCTTATCTTCTATACTTGCATTGAAATCCACCTCTAATTCTGATTGGTATTTTGACAGTGGTTGTTCTCGTCATATGACAGGTCTAAAATCTAACTTGATTAATATTTTGCCTGTTCCTTCTAGTTCTGTGACCTTTGGTGATGGTGTTATGAATAGAGTTCTCGGTATAGGATGTTTGAATGTTCCTGGATTGCCCAAACTTCAAAATGTTCTTCTTGTTGAAAATTTGAAAGCGAATTTGCTGAGTGTGAGTCAATTATGTGATCAAGACTTTTCTGTGAGTTTCACCTTGAATGAATGTTTGGTTTCAGATAGGAATAATAATTGTGTTCTTACAGGGTCTAGATCGCATGATAATTGCTATTTGATTGATTATATGACTTTTGACTCATGTGATACGAGTTCTGGTATTATTAGAGATTGTGATGCTGATAGGGATGAGAATGTTGCTGATCAATGGAGTACGTCTGACGGATGTTCTTACACCGATCAGAATTTTGTGGCTGAAACTTGTTGTTCAGAAAAGGTGTGGATGAAGCACATTTTTCTTAAATTTGGAACTGAGGTACAAGCCATTGACCTTTTCTTTGACCTTACTTATGCGGCTAATGTTTCCAAATATTCTGTTCAACATTCTCTTAATCGTACTAGCATGCTATGCCACTTTACTAGAAATTTGGTTGATGATGGATTAATTGTTCATAAATATGTTCCAGCACATAACCTTGATGCTCAAAGATTTATCTCTCTAAGGAAATCCTTAGGGATATGCATTCTCTGATTGCTTGCATGCCATTATATTATATTGTATTGTATATTAGTATATATATTATATTTGCATTGCGTGTATGCATATAGGGTATTATTTGCATTAGGCATGCCTTGCATTTTTGCATATATTTCACCACTAAGTCATAAATGAAGTTCTGACTCTTCTGAAAGCGGGTGAGATGTTGATTGTCTTTAATTGATGGCGTGTTCTTGCATACCTTGGAACAAATATATTTCTGTCAAAAAGAGCTGCCTTCACACAATGATCTAGAGCGATAGCTAGCACATGGTTCGTTTCCTTTGGGATCGACTGTGAAAAGAGCGTCATGGACAGAAAATGTTGTGAAGGGTGGTAGCTATTGACAACCACTGCACTTGACTGTGTGGTGTTTTTACTTGGAGTTATAAGGTGGTCATCTTCACAAAAAACGTAGTGCATAATAATAATAAAAAAAAAAACGAGTTCTTACACCGAGCATTGGGGCAAAGTAGTGGGGTTGACTTTCACTATTGCAGTGATTGTTACTAAGTGAAAAGCCTCGATGTAAATTAATGTTGTTGCTTAAAATCATTGGGCAAAGTAATGGGGTTGACTTTCACTATTGCAGTGGTTGTTACTAAGTGAAAAGCCTAGTGAATAATAAAGCTTATGTTGTTTTGGTGTTGGAATTCTGGAGAGATATGACTTGCGCTACATATACATATATATAATAATACCGCCTCTGTTTTGTTCCTTGGTGTGTTTGTAGCACAATGTTGATTTTGGATTAATTATGCATCAATCCTGCCTAAGTAGATTAAGAAAGGATTTTATTGATTTTAGTGTCTTGCATGCGGTTTTATTTTTATTTTTTCATCCTTAGGCATAATGCATGTGATTTCCTTCTTGAGTGAATTACTTGGACGTTAAAAAATGTGAGGGACTTTATTTTTGGATGATAAAATCTTATTCTTCCTAATTTTGAATTAGTTGGACACGTGTGTTAGTGTGTTAATGGGTTTGTGTGTTCCGTTTTGATGGGGATGTTCTTGCTGCATGGTGTTCAACCTTTTCCTTGATATTTTCTTTGTCAAACCTCACCCATCACGTCCTCACTATATATCTTCATTTTCAGAACCTGAGAACCCTATTTTTATTTTTCTCTCTTTGAATTTTTCTTTTAACCATTTGTGTTCCTGCATCATTTTCTAATGTGCTTCTGAAACACTTTGGATGATGGCAAAAGCCTAGAGAAGAGATGGATAGTCTTCAATGATTAGAGATCAGTTCAAGCAACGACTTTCGTCTTCGGTTATATTTTTCTTTCTCTCTCTCATTCGATGTTCTTACTCAGGGGGAGATTTGCTTTTGGCATTTCAGTCAAAATGGGGGAGAAATAGGATGTTTCTGAAGATGTTGGGGATAATGTTCTAGTTGTTTGCTTCTGATTATATTGGTTGCTGTTTTTGTCATGTTTCTGCAAGATGTAAGAACGTCTATGTCTTGCTGCTTGATTGTTTTGACTATTCTGATAGGGGGAGATAAATTGGTCACTCTGTTTGACTTAGGTTCTGATAGCTTGATGTGTTTTGATTACTCTGATTATAGTCCTCTTAGTTGCTTTGATAGGAATTACCATCGCTGTTTCTTCACATGGAAGACGGTGGAAAAAGAACACGGGTACAGGCCCTTCGGCATCCCGTAGTTCGAAAAAAGGGGAGAAAGGCAGAGATGGTCAAGGATGATGCTGAGAAGTCAGGGGGAGATTCAATAGCTGAGATTGGTTTTTTTGTTAGAACCTCTTATGACTTTTCGTTTGTGTGGCTGCTGTTAGTACTTGCTGTGATTGGTAGGATGTTTGCTCTGATTGTTTTATGTTATGTGCGTCTAATGAGTTGTAACTGCAGGTACATTATGGACTGTGTTCTTACTGCAGTGATTTGTTCCTTATGATATTATTCTGCATATTCGTGCTTGCTGTTCTAACTGTGTTTCAGGTTATCTTCATTATATGATTTTTCGAACTAGATGCCAAAGGGGGAGATTGAAAGAGTTATATTTTTGGCAATGTAGTTCAAAAATTAATATAAGTGAAGATATATTCTTGCAAGCATGAGAAATAAAAAGGGAAGTTCTTTTATTTATATTTATATTTATATATTCGAATATATTTATATTTATATATTCGATTTATATACATATATATTAGATTTACATGATCTTATTATGGATATATTTTGTAGGAAATCATATAAGAAGGAAAGATCTTTGGAAAGAGAAGATAGAGATCTACACCTACCATATCTCTTATGATTTACATGGAAGGAAATTGGATAAACTTGGAAGGAAATAAAAAAGAAGTCCTATACTTGGAGAACACTCCACATCCTAGGGATTGTATATATACCTGCTTGAAGAACGAATTTTGGAGAGCTGAGAGCAATATATTCTATTCCATATTCGAGCTGCAAGCTTTTTGTGTTTTATTTTCGTTGGTCAATTTTCGGTGTTCTTACGTCATCGAAGAACTGAAATCTGTTTTGTTTTCTTTTCTTTGTGTTTCATTCAAACACTTGTGTGATCAGTGCTTAGGGATTAAGTACTGTCTTTAGCTCGAGGGATTCGAGAGGTAAAATCCACGGGACGTGGTCGGAGAAGTAGTTGATAGAATCGTGTGTAGTTGTGGCTAGACTAGAAGGGAGTTCGAGTCGTGTAAGTCCAAACTATACAAGTGTGCACAAACGGTTTATCAATGAAAGAGCTCTGAGGGGAAGTGGGACGCTTCCCTGAAGAGTTTTTAAATCTTCGATTTATTGCTTCCGCATTTTATAATTTTTGTTTTAGTTCGTACTACAAGTTGAGCGCACTCGTTACAAAATACCTACGTTACAAAGTCTTACAACCGTTTGCTTAACTAAGCAAATAATACAAAGCTTATAAACATATAAGCTAAGCACAATTCGGATTAGCTAGAAGCTGTCCGTCAATCGCAAATAAGCACAAATAATAACACCAGAATGACACACTAAGAGATACCGGGATCGAACATGAATCTACAATGGACCACTGAATCAGCTAACTCACGAACGTTTGCTATTAAGTCCCTTAAATTTGGCTCGCACTCCTGCTTTCCTTGCTGCATCAAGACAAGTTGGTGATCATTTAGAGAACAAGTCATATTATTCTCCTCTAGCTCCTCCAACTTATAAATCATCTTTTTAGTCATGAGTAGCAGCCTTGTCTGAGTTGCCTGTTGGTCTGATCCCATGTCTTCCCATCTAGCAAGTTCCCGACCATTCTTCTCAGCAATGCAGAGTATGCCAATAGTCCCTCCTGGTGAGCATGAAGCACTGACAAAGCTCCTCACTTGTCCTACTTCCTTGGAAAATGTCTCATCCCGAGGTGATATTGGTTTAGATATTCCTCCTCCCATAGCCTGTGTAAACTCCTTCCACTCTTCTCTAGCATGATTAGCAGTTTTCCATTCTAGTTCTCGAATTCTATTGAAAGTCCAAGCATTTCTGCTTTTCCAAATCCTCTAGAGTACACAAGCTGTCAAACTAAGTCTATCTGTTCTTGCATTCCTCTCCTTCGTGTTGCAAATACCATACCACCAGTTTTTAAAATTTCAATTTTGATCGCCTTGATATTCCTAGTTGAGCCCACTGAGTTTCCAGCAGAGAGCAGCCCTACTACATTGAAGCAACAGATGGTCAACAGTTTCCTGAAACTCTCCACACAATTCACATCTGATATCCAGGACAACCCTTTTTTTAGCCAGTTGCACCTTCCCTGCCAAGAACCCATTCCAGCACCTCCAAAGAAAGAATTTGATTTTGGTTTAACTGGTAAAGACCAAGTTATCTGCCACATCTTCTTCTCCCAGGCCTTTCCAGCACTTATTCCCACCTCATCCTCTTGCATTCTCTTGTTCTTTCTGATGGTTTCATATACCCCTTTCACAGTGAGCAGTCCTTTTTTGTCCCAGTGCCAAATAAGTTGGTCTTTACCCCCCTGTTTCTTGCGAGAGATACAAAGAATATTAGCTGCATCTGATTGATTAAAAGTTTGATTGATCAACACACTGTCCCATTTCACAGTTTCATGGTTTATAAGATCACTCACCTTGCTAATTCTCTCCCTATCTCCCTGAAAGCATACCAAAGGTTTAAAATTTTTACAATTAGGCACCAAAGGGGAGTCCCAAACATGAATAGACCTACCTTCCCCCACTTGGTATCTCACTCCCAGAAAAAAAAGAACTTCTAGCACCTAACAAACCCCTCCAGACCCATGAATCACTACCTCTAATGGCTACCTCACCAAGTTTCTTATTCCATAAATATTTTCCTTTCATAACTCTACTCATAAGCAGATTTGGTTAGGATATGATCCTCCAAAGTTGCTTAACCAGTAAAGCTTCATTAAAGTCCCTCATTTCTCTGAACCCTAACCCTCTCTCTTCTTTAGTTCTGGTAAGTTTATCCAATTAAGCCCAATGGACTTTCCCCTCCCCCCCCCCCTTCTCACATCTACCCCACCAGAAGCTAGCAATTTCCTTGCTAATATTCTGAATAATCCCAAGAGAAATTCTGTAACAAGACATGACATAAATTGACAGTGCTGCTAACACTGCCTTAATCAAGGTATCCCTCTCAGCCTCTGATAGAAAGATGTTTTTCCAATTCTGAATTCTCTCCCTCACACAATCACTCACAAAGGCAAAAGTCTCTCTTTTATTTCTTCCAATCCCCAGGGGTAAACCCAAATATTTAGCTGTTTTCACTTGAGAAATTCCAGTCAAAACATTACAAACTGCATCCTTATCACCACTTAAGGAGTTTTTATAAAAGAAGATAGAGGATTTATCAAGATTGAGTCTTTGTCCTGAATTATTGCCATACTCATGCAGAATATTCAAAATGAGATTAGCATGCTGAGCATCGACTTCACAAAATAAAATGACATCATCAGCAAAGAATGAATGAGAAATAACTGAAGAGAATTTACTGATCCTAATGCCATGAAACTTATTAGAAAGACAGGACTGTTTAACTAAATTGGAAAAAGCCTCAGAAATAAAAAGGAACAGATATGAAGATAGAGTATCTCCCTGTCTGAGTCCTCTAGAGGATTGAACATGCCCAAGGACAGCACCATTCACATTAAAAGAAAAGGACACAGAAGCAACACAAGCAAGAATCCATGAAATGAAAGTATCACAGAAGCCCATTTTCTTACAAATTTTGGCAACAAACCCCCATCTACTCTATCATAGGCTTTAGACATGTCACGTTTCAGAGCCATGAATTTTTTCTTTCCTTTACTCTTACAGTTTAAGAAATGAATGCACTCAGATGCAATAATGGCATTGTCAAGAATTTGTCTCCCAGGAACAAAGGCAAATTGGGAGGCAGAAATACATAAATGAAGGAAAGGTCTAATCCTATTAGCAAGAATCTTAGCAATAACTTTGTAAATAACAGAACACAGACTAATGGGTCTAAAATCAACTACACTTACAGGGTTAAGCTTTTTTGGGATCAGAGTGATAACTGTATGGTTACAACCCTTTGGCATGAGATGGTGTTTAATTGTAGGCCAGACATTCTGAAAGAAATGGGCAGTCATCCCATCCTTCCTAGGGGCCTTGTCCTGATCCATATCAGAAAGGGCTTCTTTAATTTCCAGTTCCCCCACCTCCCTGATCAACTTATCATTCATCTCAGCATTGATAGATGTAGGAATGGCTTACAGATTGCACTTCTGAGGAAAAGGGATCAGAAGGTTTGAAAAGTCAGCAAAATACTTCTGCAATTCAATAACAACTTCTCCATCATTCTCACAATTTTCCCCATCAGATTTTTGGATACTGTTCAGGTTATTGGTTTTCCTTCTGCTCCTCACACTAGCCTGAAAATATTTGGAGTTTCTATCTCGCTCCTTCAACCAGGCAACTCTCGATTTCCGTCTTCAAAAAATTTCTTCAGCTTTGTAAGCTTCATGGAGATCAGTTTTAGTAGCATTCCACACTACCCAGTTCCTGTCAGCTCATTCCTTAGCCATTTGCTCAAGCAGAAGTTTAGATTTAGCAATGACTAATGCTGAGTTGCTTTTCATGCTAGCTTTTCATGTTAACAGATCTTTCCTCACATTGGTAATTCTCTGCTGAACCCCATAAAGATGGTTCCCACTGACAGGTTTGTTCCAAGCAATATCAACAATTTCTTGATACCCAACTAGTCTGGGCCATCTGCCCTCAAAAGAGAACCTGTGCTTGGGGATTTCAAAGGTACCCACAGTATCCATAAGTACCATACTATAGTCAGAGGATAAAAGAGAAATGTGCTTAATGAGACCATTCGGGAAGCTGACATTCTAATGAGGAGATAGAAGGAATCTGTCAAGCCTCTCTTCAACAAACTCAATACCCACCCTATTATTACTCCAAGTGTATGGATGACCACTGAACCTGGTATCCACAGCACCTAGATCCCTCACCAGCCCTCTAAAACTAGCAAAGCCAGCCTCATCTCTTATGGTCCCCCCATTCTTCTCAGAATTACTGAGAATATCATTAAAGTCACCCCCTACAAACCAAGACTCACCCCAATACAGACTATGTCTAATCAGAACATTCCATTGATTTTTCCTGACCAAGCTATTAGTACTAGCATATTAGAACACTTCCAATGGATCTGAGGATTGTTTTGCCATTGAAATTTCACTTCCATGCAAAACTCACAAGATAAGATCTCCAAAACTATGATACTACTGGACCAAAAAAGTAGCATGCCACCTCTTGTGCCAAGAGAGGCTTGATAGACCCAATTATCCCCTAATTTAAGCTTTTTACAAACAGTTTGAACGATTTTTGGGTTTTTTTTTTTGTTTTGTTTTTGTTTTTTTTGTTTTTGAAAGGAAAACAAAATTAGGAAGGTGAAGTCTTATGACTTCTCTGATTTGAGAAACTGTAGAGGGTCCCCCTAGACCTCTACAGTTCCACACAGAAACTTTTATTTGGAACTTTGGGACCAGTTATGGCTGGTTTCCTCCACCTTGGATTGTTGGGTGTTATCCCCTACTCTTATTTTTTTACTCTCTGATTGACCAAGATCCTGATTATCCAGATTTTGGATTTCAAGAGATCTTTTCCTACTCTGATGGCTACCCTGAGTACTAGTCTCACCACCCTTACCAAGATCTATTACCATATTAGCATTTCTCAACAGTACTCAGTCTGGGTTTTCTGGTAAAAGACTTGGTTTTTCTTTGGACAATTCTTTCTCCTACAGATGCTGGTTGAATGCAAACTTCAACCAGATTATCATCTGTAGGGGTGAGAACTTTAGGACTTTGGCTACAGGTTCCTTTCTCAGACCCTAATCCCTCTGTAACACTAGGTTGTTCTTTTCCATGAAAAGAACTGGATTCCTCACCCTTATCCCCTTGAGGTAAGACCTCAACATTACCCTCCTTTCTCGAACTATCAGTATCCTTAGTCCTAACTTTCTCCTGCTTTTGAGCACTAATCCTCAGAGATCCAACACTATCAGGTTCACTAGCAAAACTCCCATTACTCTTACTATTAAAGCTTCTACTCTCACTGTGAGAAAAAAAATTGGCTCTGAGCCATTCCCCAAATTGGCCAGCATTAAGCACATTTCTAAGCAAATCCTCTTTTTAGTAGAACAATTCCGATCGGAATGGCCCACTTTCCAACAGTAAAAGCAAAACGTTTGGATACATTCGTACCTGAATTCGACCCACCGGTTTTTAGAGCCCACCTTTAAGTTTGTTCCTCGGAGAATTGGTTCTCTTAACTTCATCTCCACCCAGATCTTTATAACTTGGCCTTTGGTATTGCCAGCTTCTGGGACCAGAACATCTAGCACCCTTCATATCTTCTGTCCTATTTTCAGTCCTGCTTCCATGGACACCCAATGTAGTGGAAGATTCTGGATTTGCACCCAGATTTTAATTGTTTCCTCCTCTTCTGTGAAGTCAAGTTCCTCTGGATTCCAACTCTTCAGGAGAAGATACTGGCCATAGAACGGCCAGGTTTTGCCTGACAAAATTCTGATTTTATCTTATTTTGACTGAAAGATGAACAGGAATTTGTTGTCACCAAGGTTCCTCACTTCAAACGGTTTCTTCGTGGTCCAAATGCCTTGCAGAGTGTTCTTTAGCCCTACAAAGTTAACCTTCTTTTCACCAAATGATTTTCCAATAAGGCTCAGTTGACATTCTTTATTTTAACCCTTGAGCAATATCCCCTTCTGATAACTCCACATTCTCGACTTCTTTTTCTGAAAGTTTTATTGTAAGAAGTTTATCTTCCAAGTCAGGTTCCATGATTTCAAAACCCCTCGCTGGATTCCAAGCGCAAGCCCTCTAACAAGATCATGAAAGAACCCACAAGAAAGATGAAAAACTATCGATTGGAAAAAATCCTAACCGTAACAAGGTCGAAAGAAAGAAACCTACCCAAGAGAAGCAACCAAATGAAAACTCAAGACACGAGAAGAGCACAGATCGATCCTATGATAAGAAGCAATTCTAATATCTAGAACTGGAAGTCCAAAAAAGAGATGAAAGATCTCAGGAGGAGAAAAAATCTCATAGAGAGAAGAAAATCTCACAAGGAGAACTTGAATTTTCTTTCCAAATGTTGGTTTGCTTGCCNAAAAAAAAAAAAAAAAAAAAAATTGATGCGATTTTTTCAATTCACTTTTTCACTATGTTTTAATTTTTTAGTTCAAAAACAAATTATTATTTCATACTTCTTAATAAAATTTACTATTTATCAAATGAAATATATGTAATTACCAACTATTATTTTACAAACTTGTTTATCACACTGCAATTGAATATTACACTTTATATCACATTACTCAATATTAAAAAAATATTAATTTATCCACTAATTTTATCTGTTCTGAATCTTTCCATTTTTACCATTAAATTACTTAAAAAACTTATTAAATTGTATTCCTCTATTTTGTCAAATTGTTTAATTAAAATGTATAATAACTCAAATACTTCCCGAATTATATTGTCCTTGTATGTAATATGTAGTACCCTATATTATTTTGCGAAAATATAAAAATAAAAAATAAAATATTGATTCATTTGGGCGTAAACAAAGAGGCATGTTTACATTGTAAAATTTTATATTTTGAGTATTTAATTTGTTAAAGTATGATATTAAAACACTAAAGTGTATATTTATTAAAAAAATAAAGTACCATCAGTAGTATGATCTAGCTAACAAGTAACAAGACAATTACTCAAATTAATCGAGAAAATTTATAATAATGTTAGGACAATATTCTTGCAAAAACAAATAATTAATTCGTCACAAATGTGGGGTAATGTTTTGTAACGTTAGGGTATTTATATCAAGCTTTAGTTGCCTCCATTTTTTTTGGGTGTTACTATTCACCGCCCCCCATATTACTAGTCACCGCCTCCCTTGGACAATTTTACCCTTCTCATTTTTTCTAAACATCTCAGAGGAAAGTGTACGGTGAAATGTCGTCAAATTCGGAGGTACGAAAAAATACGTGTACGGTCGCCGGTTCCGGACGGGCTAAAAGCCGTCCGGACGCCGGAACCGGACGGACTAAAAGCCGTCCGGACCGGCCGGCCGGACGACAAGTAATACCGGCCGGAAAGCACGGCCGGACGGACCGTTGCTGTCCGAACCGGCCGGCCGGACGGCAAGAAAGCCGTCCGGAAACGACGGCCGGTCGGAACCGGTCCGTCCGGTTCGGCCGGCCGGCCGGAATATTTTTATTTTTATTTTTTTTTAAATTGTTATGTTATTTATTCGAAATAGTTATGTTATAAATTGGACTATATTATTATGTTAGAAATTTATTATGTTACATTTTAGACTTCATTATGCTATTAATTGGACGTTTATCGTGTTAGGAGTTACAAATTATTATGTTACATGTTGATTATAATATAAATTGGACGTTTAGATATTATCGTGTTACGAGTTAGAAATTATTACATTATATATTAGTTTTAATTATGTTATAAATTGACGTTTACATATTATTGTGATCGTGTTAGGAGTTACAAATTATATTAATTGAACGTTAGATAATATCATGTTACGAGTTACAAATTATTATGTTACATCCTAGAATTAATTATCTTAATTTAACATGTTCTAAAAATTGTACTATATAAATTATTATGTTACATCCTAGAAAATTATATTAATTGAGCGTTAGATAATATCATGTTACGAGTTACAAATTATTATGTTACATCCTAGAATTAATTATCTTAATTTAACATGTTCTAAAAATTGTACTATATAGCAGGAGTCATGGGAAGATTTTGGAGGAGATGGTGTTGATTACAGTGAGCGTTTCGATACATCTTCATTCTATAGTAGTGCTCAGGAGGCTATTGAAGCTGCAAAACACCAGGCAATGCTGAATGGTTTCCAATTAATTATTTCGAGCCACAAAAAGAAAACGGTCAGAGTTTTGAAGTGCCATAGAGGCGAACGGTACAGAGGCACAGGCGGAAATTCTAGAAGGACAAAAACGAATAAGTGCGGTTGCAATTTTGAGATCAAAGTAAAAAAGTTGTCCGGCGTTCCATACTGGAGGATCTGCAGATGTAGCAATGAAGAGAAAAGCTACCATAACCATGCATTTGCTGTGTATCCTGAGGGTCATAGCCAGTTGAGCGGTCTCAGCGCTTCATCTAAGAGAATTGTTCGTGAAATGACGGACGCTCAGGTGGCCCCGAAAAAAATTATGGCCGCGCTGAAGGAAAAGAATCCGGGAGACAACGTTCATGTGCGGCAGGTATATATATTTATATCTTGTAATATATGTTTTAATTAAATTTTTTAAGTTAATTATGATAATTAGTAATTTTTTATATGTAAAAGTTATTGTAATAATTAATAAATTTTATTATATTTAGTAATGTATTACTATTGTGATAGTTAATAATTTTTTTATCAAATTAATCGCATTAATATACTTTTTTATTTATTAATATAATAAAATTTTTGTTTTAAATTACAATAATCATTATAATTAACGCTAATCGGTGACAGGTATATAACTATAGAGATAAGCTGCGGAGAGAGGATTCCGACGGTAGAGACGTTCCTACTCAGCTTATGCATTTGGCCGTGAGCAGCCAGTATACAGTTTATGTAGAATCCGATCCGAACACGAAAGTGCTGACGCATATATTCATGGCCCATCCTGCGTCGATCAATCTATTCCGGACATATCACTGGTATGTCGGTATAGATTCCACGTATAAAACCAACAGGTATGTTACTTTATAAATACTTTATTAGTATGAATCTTAAATAGTGTGTTTGATTAAGTTAAGTTTTATGTGCTTATATTTTTTTTCTTCTTGGTTACATTTGCACAGGTACAAGATGCCGTTCGTCGAGATGATTGGGATGACGCCGTGCAACCAGAACTTCCTGATTGCGTATGCCCTCATCAGGGACGAGAAAGAGACCAGTTACGACTGGGTTCTAGAGAAGTTGAGACTCCTGATAGGCCAAAGCGTATATCCTTATGTTGTTGTCAGTGACAGAGAGTTGGGTCTACTCACTCCTATTCAGAGGCATTTTCCTGAATCAGCCCACTTACTCTGCACGTGGCACATCAACAAGGATGTGGAAGCCAGAACCTACCACCTATTTGGGAAGAATAAAAAATTCTCGGAGATTTTCACGCACAGTACGTGGAAGGCGATTGCAGAGGCCAGTACGTTCGATGCCTACAACGATGCCGTTGCCGAGCTGCGCAAAAAATATTCGAACAACAAACAGGTGCTACGGTATGTGGAGGGCACATGGTTAGTGCACCGCGAGAAGTTTGTGAAGGCTTGGACGAACCGATTGAGACATTTTGGAAACACAACTTCCTGTAGGGTGGAGAGTGCCCACTCTGCGTTGAAGGAGTGGCTTCAGACGTCCACCGGCGCGCTCGATACGGTTTGGCAGAAGGTTAATAAGCATATCGATAATCAAGTGACTGAAATCAAGTACGTACTGCAATTTTTAAATGCGTTATTATATTACTGCATTAATTAATTATAATCTAACGTTATGTAACGTATTATCAGGACGGCGCTTGAGGCCTCGAGATCTAAGAAGGATACACGGTATAAGGAAATCCGTTTCGCGAGCGTGATACACAGGGTCTCGCATTACTGTCTGAGTTTATTGGACACTGAGCTTACGAGGATGAAAAAGTTGGACACCGATGTTTACACGAGCTGCGGTTGTGTATTACAGCTCACTCATGGACTTCCTTGTGCCTGTCTCCTCCGTAACTCAGAAGATTTCGACGTTCCGATTGATCTCGGAATGATTCACCAGTTCTGGAGAACGCTCGAGATATTAGAGCCAGGTAATTTAAGATTAATGTTTTATTTATAATTTTCAATTAAAATACATTATTTGTTCTAATTTATTGACTTTTTTATCGTATACTTGTAGGGACTGGTCATCCGAGCCAGGCGAGCAACGCTGCATGGTCAGATGCAGCGTTCTTTCAGACGCTTGTGACTGAGGTTGAAACCCGCGATCCCGCGACGATGCGGTACGTGAATCAGTTCATGTACAGTCATCTTTACCCAGACCAACAGGATTATGCGGAACCTGAGGTTAAGGATAACCCGCGAGGTCGTCCCAAGAAAACTAATTCAACGAAGCGTAAACCATCTGGTTTTGAGCACAACGAAAAATCGCGAGGTCGGAAATCGAGCCGTACGACCAATTCTTCGCGTGGAAAGACAAGTTCGTCTTCTCAACAGTCACAAGGGGATGAAGGTCATACATTTTTTTTTTTTTAAATACGGTTGAGCGTTAATTAAAGTATTTATATGATTATATAAATTGTGACGTGAAATTATTATGATA